AAAACAGTTTATACCGCTCCGTATACCAAGAATAACTAAATGTTGGTATAAATGTTACCGTTAAACTGTATAATTCGGTATTCCATGAAATAACTATTTGTAATAGTTAAAGCATGTAATAAAAAACTATTTCATGCTTTAACTAGTTATTTCATAGAATACCGGTTACACTACATCAAAAGTGTATAATGAACTGTCAAACTTAACCTAAAAAAGAAACCACTCTACAAACAAACGTTTCAAACGTTGATCTGAGATCTGTGTACTCTGTTTTAGATTCATTTTTATTTATTAAATCTGTAAATTTTAGTTTCATATTTCTTTTAATATCACTCACTTCCATTGTTGTATTTAAGAGTACACAGATCTCAGATCAACGTTTTGATCAACTGTGCCTTATTAACAAGTGAGAAATATATGAATTTAATAAGAGATGTGAAACATTCCAAAACAAAACAGAAAAAAATTCTCCGAGATTATTGGTTGCTGCAACATTACGACGTGCTTCAAATAACAGGTATATTTTGCAAAAATATTAATTTTGTATACTTATTCTAAAAGACTTCAATTCCATCTTTTCTTGATTATGTGTTTATTGATGTGCTTTATGACATTCATCTTGCAATTGGACATGGAGGCAGAGATAGGATGATTAAAGAATTAAATAAAAAATATAAAAACAAAATAATACCAATAAATGGAATAAAGGACTACAATTTGTTCAATTTATGAAAAATCGCGCCTAGCATTCCGGTATTAAAAGGACACCTTACAAGGCAATGTTTGGTGTGGACCCGAAAGTTGGATTAACAACGTCTTCTTTGCCGAAAGAAATCATTTCATCAATACAAGATGAGGAGGATTTAAAAAAACTTTTGCAAGGCATGGAGACACATGTAGAACAATCTAACGTCGACAACAACGATAAAGAAAATGTTAGCAACGCCGACAAGGATAATGAAGAAACGAATGAAGAAATTGAAGAAAGAAAATGTATAATTTGTTTGAACAATTGCTTAGAGAATTGTTGCCTTTGCACTGACTGTTTAAAACCAGTGCATTTCAGATGTACAGTAGAAACATTTAATATAGACGGCGATAGAATGGATCCAAGTCACCTATGCCTATTATGTTACAAAAGAAATTCGATTATAAATGAACGTAACGATGCTAAAGAAGGTTTATGTCAACAAGCCAAAAAAATGAAGATTACTTCTGATAAGTTACACCCCTCGGCAGATGTTGGTTCGACTGTTCGTGTCAAAATTCCCGATGTAGACCGTGGAAGAGGTGATCCAAGGTCTGTATTGATGTTGTACTAGAAGTCACTGACGATAATTACTATAAATTGGGCACAAGAAATGGTATAATTAATCAATTGTATGCGAGGTCTCAATTTAGCGCGTGTGATGAGAAACTTGTAACAACCGAAGAAGTTCCTTCTAAAGAGATGTCGCTGCGGACGGTGGCAATTGCTCAGTCAATTGGTACGGGGCAAGGCTTTAAAAAATGTGCTTGCACAAAAAAATGTGAAACAAAAAAATGCTTATGTAAACGAAGTAATTTATTATGTAATTCGAAATGTCATGGTAGTAATCCGTGCACAAATAAATAGTTAGAGAAAATAATAAAATAATTAAAAATTTCGTTTTATTTTAATGTGATATATTTACAATAACTTTTAATGATTATTGATCTCATGATTATTAGTNAGACCTAGAACTAGAATCATTCAGATTTAGCCGTTCGTCTCTAAAGACGGCATCTAAGACGGATCTAAAGACGGAACTTTCCAACTACAATAAATAGGTATAGAAATGTTTATAGATAATTTGTAGAGAATTAAAACACCTGCATAAGATACTCCAATACATCAAATGACAATCTATTTGGCAGCATCTGAAGAGTAATCGTGCCAGTGTAGATCTTTTTTGAATGAACGTTGCCTGAAGTATGGGGTTTTAACCCTTAATCACTGACGTACGAATGACATTCGTTGCGAAAACCGTTATTCGTTCATAACTTGTTTTTGTGCGGGAATTCGTGCTTGTCGTTTCTAGCAGTTTCCTAGCCGTCAGTAACACGCGTGCTGCAGAGAGGACGAACGTATGACGCACTTTTATACAGGTGAATTTGATCATCTGACGTACGGCATTCGTATTGTCAGTGTTAGTGTAGCTTTTTCGAATTCCTTTTATTTTTTCGCTTGTAGATAAAATGAATCGTAAGCGATGTAATACTTAGCCCGGGCATTCCACATCGCGGAAAATACACCGAACGCGTATTGGTTACAATATATCAGACGACATAATAGAATCATGGCTATATGAAGAATCAGAGGAATCATCAGCAGGTGAAGAAGATTGCATACAATCAGATCGCGGAAATTCTTCATCAGAAGAAGATGAAGAAAATGAAGAGATTAGGTTACCAACACCAGCAGATTCTCATATCTCCGACTCCTCTGATGATGACATTCCATTGTCACGTTTAGTAAGTCGAGCTGACCCTCTAGAAAGAGAAACTATCAGCCAGGTAAGTGAACCTGAGACTTGTAATGACAAATCACGTCGCCAAAAATATTTCTATGGTAAAAGACGATGCATGAAGTGGTCCGCAGAAGGGCCATCAAGAAGCACTCGAACTCCTGCGCACAACATTGTAGTTCCATTGACCGCAACTTATATTCCACCTGACAGCTCTTCGTCTCAATTATTTGGATTGCTGATATCTAAGAGTATCAAAACTAAAGTTATAAACTTTACTAATCAAAGATTGGAAGTGACAAGAGAAAAATATAAACGCCAGAATAAACCTGAACTGAAAGACATTGATCCTTTGGAGTTTGATGTGTTCATTGGTCTGCTGATGTTTAGTGCAGTGTTCAAATCAAATGATGAAGACCTAAATGCATTGTTTGCGACGGACGAAACCGGGAGAGATATTTTTAGAGGAGTTATGTCTAAAGAGCGGTGCAATGATTATCCTATGTCTGAGGTTTGATGATGCGTCTACTAGAGACCAAAGAAAACGGACTGACGTCGCTGCTGCTATTTCGGACATATTTCGCGAATTTATAGGAAATTGTCAAAAGTACTATAAAATTGGGGAAACTACAACAATTGACGAAATGCTAGTATCTTTTAGAGGAAGATGTAGATGGAAGAAATACATGCCTAACAAGCCGTGTAAGTATGGCTTGGAAATAAAATGTCTGACTGATGGTGCTACTAGCTATTTATACAATGCGTACCTATATACAGGAAAGAACAGTGACGGAAACGGGCTAACACATGAAGAAAGGAAGTTATTAGTGCCAACGCAGTGTGTCTTGCGTTTGGCAAAACCGATAATGACAACCAATCGAAATATCACTGCAGATAACTACTTTTCCTCAATTGAAGTCTGCATAGAACTGAGAAAAAGAGGCTTGACTTACGTTGGAACCCTAAAAAAAAATAAAANTATATTAAAAAAACGAAGATTGTGATAATTTTTATAACAGCGCGCCCGCTCGAAGGTTAAATTATTTATAATTTTTAACTATCTACTTAATAAATTATTACGTTTTAATTTTGTCACTTTTTAACACTACATCTATACGCCAAATACCTAACCATTAGTTTCACTTTTAAGTACTGAAATGGTTTAAAAGACAACTAAAATTAAATATTTCCGCCTTGATTTAGGCTACCCCACATTACATCCTTTGTTTCCAAATTTTAACATTAGGTGAGCTATCTATGTATATATAATCAAAGATGATAATAGTAATTGTTTGAAATCGGTTTGATTGTTCTACGATTTCTAATTCCGCATCATAAAAAATAGTCGCTGTATTGTGCTTTTATTACATGTGCTTTTCGGTAATTACGTCGTTCGGCGATTTCCACTAATTGCTTTTATTTATTTGAAATTCGGTCAGGAAACGTTTTCGGGAAAAGTTTTAACGGTTTTAAATGAATGATTATGAAAATTTGAAGTTTAATTAAGGAAATTAAGAAATTAAGGAAAATGCAAATAAAGTTGCATAAGTGGGTGGTGATAAGGTATCGATTTTTGGATTTTTATAAGTCGGGCGGAAACTGTAGGAGGTCGGGGGAATGTGGGAAATATATTCGGATGTTATAAATTTTTCGGAAAAAAATGTAACTTCGTTACATGCTAAACACCGCTGATCAATTTGACAGTCGCTAAACGTAAACAACGTAAACAAACCACATGCGCGCTGCGCGTTATACCTACAGTATTACCAACCATTGGAATAACTATTCTGGCATAAGAAAGGCTTTATAAGACGTATTCGTTAAATTAATGCCGAGAATTAATTATTCTGGGAATAACTATTCCACTGATTATACCAACACTTGTAAGATCGGCCCTTACACAATTAATTTTTATAGATTATAATACCCAAAATAATGGCTTCCCGTCCAGGACCAGCGCTTGTAAGGACGGGAGATGCTAATTTTGAAGAAACCGTAATGCGATGGTACGATGACAGCGATGAAGATGATTTAGTAGATAAGTAGGAAGATAATGATGTGAGTGATGTTGACACTCTGTGAATAACGATATTATGAGCGATCACAATTCAGACACAAAGATAGAAGTTATTGAAAATGAAAGGGAAACAGACACCAAGAGTGGGGAATATTGCGATAGAGGGAAAAACGAAGAGCAAAATGTGTCAAGCGATTCATCTGAGAATGAAGGTGACAGTAACATTCCCCTAACATATATCTATGGAAAGAATAAATTTAAATGGTCGACTGAACCTGAAAACTCCAGAACAAGAACAAGGAAGCATAATATTGTTTTGGAACGTCCTGGATTGCGAGGCCCTAACCGTCCGACTAAAGCAAGTCCTGAAGACATGTGGAATAGGTTAATTGATGATACCATTACTTTCAGAAGTTTTACGTTGGACAAATATAAAAATACAGAAAGAAAGAGCCAGTTATACTAATAAGGCACGTCCAGAATTCAAAGATTTAGATATGATTGAGCTCAAGGCGTTTATAGAACTTCGCTTTTTCACTGCGGCATTCAAGTCAAATCATCAAGATATAAACACTCTCTTCACAACAGATGGAACCGGTGCCGAGATATTTCGTGCTGTGATGTTTAAGAACAGATTCGCGATTTTAGTAAGCACTCTTAGATTCGATGACACTAATTCTAGAAAAGAACGCAAAAAGACAGATCCAGCTGCACCAATCTCACTAATTTTTGAAACATTCGTGAAAAATTGCCAACAGGCGTACAGTTTGGGAACTTGCGTTACTATCGATGAAATGCTCATCAGCTTCCGCGGCCGCTGCAAGTTTCGAATGTATATTCCAAACAAACCAGTAAAGTATGGGCTAAAACTAATGGCGTTGACCGATTCAAGAAACCATTATTATTTCAATGGTTATATTTACATTGGAAAAGGATCGGATGGAAATACGTTGCCGGAAAAATATCAAACTTCACCAAAACCAATGCTATCTGTTTTACGTCTTTCCAAGCNTCCCCTAACATATATCTATGGAAAGAATAAATTTAAATGGTCGACTGAACCTGAAAACTCCAGAACAAGAACAAGGAAGCATAATATTGTTTTGGAACGTCCTGGATTGCGAGGCCCTAACCGTCCGACTAAAGCAAGTCCTGAAGACATGTGGAATAGGTTAATTGATGATACCATTACTTTCAGAAGTTTTACGTTGGACAAATATAAAAATACAGAAAGAAAGAGCCAGTTATACTAATAAGGCACGTCCAGAACTCAAAGATTTAGATATGATTGAGCTCAAGGCGTTTATAGGACTTCTCTTTTTCACTGCGGCATTCAAGTCAAATCATCAAGATATAAACACTCTCTTCACAACAGATGGAACCGGTGCCGAGATATTTCGTGCTGTGATGTTTAAGAACAGATTCGCGATTTTAGTAAGCACTCTTAGATTCGATGACACTAATTCTAGAAAAGAACGCAAAAAGACAGATCCAGCTGCACCAATCTCACTAATTTTTGAAACATTCGTGAAAAATTGCCAACAGGCGTACAGTTTGGGAACTTGCGTTACTATCGATGAAATGCTCATCAGCTTCCGCGGCCGCTGCAAGTTTCGAATGTATATTCCAAACAAACCAGTAAAGTATGGGCTAAAACTAATGGCGTTGACCGATTCAAGAAACCATTATTATTTCAATGGTTATATTTACATTGGAAAAGGATCGGATGGAAATACGTTGCCGGAAAAATATCAAACTTCACCAAAACCAATGCTATCTGTTTTACGTCTTTCCAAGCCCATACAAAAGAGGAAAAGAAACATCACCGCAAACAATTGGTTCACAGCAATTGATCTTGCTCTACACCAGAGATGCACAGACCGCGGCCCGCCGGTCGAATACTGGTGGCCCGCCGACAGCAAAAATAACATTCTCGTACATTCGAAAAATAATAAATATTAAAGTACTTTGTTTCTTTTGATATTGTGAGCGACGTCCATAAAACTTATGAAAATCATTCAAATACCGCGCCAGTTCATGAATGAAACGACGCCGCGGCCGTGCCGCNCTGTGAATAACGATATTATGAGCGATCACAATTCAGACACAAAGATAGAAGTTATTGAAAATGAAAGGGAAACAGACACCAAGAGTGGGGAATATTGCGATAGAGGGAAAAACGAAGAGCAAAATGTGTCAAGCGATTCATCTGAGAATGAAGCTGACAGTAACATTCCCCTAACATATATCTATGGAAAGAATAAATTTAAATGGTCGACTGAACCTGAAAACTCCAGAACAAGAACAAGGAAGCATAATATTGTTTTGGAACGTCCTGGATTACGAGGGCCTAACCGTCCGACTAAAGCAAGTCCTGAAGACATGTAGAATAGGTTAATTGATGATACCATTACTTTCAGAAGTTTTACGTTGGACAAATATAAAAATACAGAAAGAAAGAACCAGTTATACTAATAAGGCACGTCCAGAATTCAAAGATTTAGATATGATTGAGCTCAAGGCGTTTATAGAACTTCGCTTTTTCACTGCGGCATTCAAGTCAAATCATCAAGATATAAACACTCTCTTCGCAACAGATGGAACCGGTGCCGAGATATTTCGTGCTGTGATGTTTAAGAACAGATTCGCGTTTTTAGTAAGCTGTCTTAGATTCGATGACACTAATTCTAGAAAAGAACGCAAAAAGACAGATCTAGCTGCACCAATCTCACTAATTTTTGAAACATTCGTGAAAAATTGCCAACAGGCGTACAGTTTGGGAACTTGCATTACTATGGATGAAATGCTCATCAGCTTCCGCGGCCGCTGCACGTTTCGAATGTATATTCCAAACAAACCAGCAAAGTATGGGCTAAAACTAATGGCACTGACCGATTCAAGAAACCATTATTATTTCAATGGTTATATTTACATTGGAAAAGGATCGGATGGAAATACGTTGCCGGAAAAATATCAAACTTTACCAAAACCAATGCAATCTGTTTTACGTCTTTCCAAGCCCATACAAAAGAGTAACAGAAACATCACCGCAGACAATTGGTTCACAGCAATTGATCTGGCTCTACACCTATTGAGAGAAAACGATTTGACTTACGTTGGAACTGTGAAAAAAAATAAAAGAGAAATTCCGAGTCAATTTCTGCCTATCAAAACTAGGACACCCGGATCAGCATTGTATGGATTCACACCGGAAGTTACCATGGTGTCGTTCGTCCCAAAATAATCTAAAGCAGTGATATTAGTAAGTTCAATGCATAATATAAAATGTACCGATCCAGATGTCAACAAGCCAGTAATTATTGCTTTCTACAACAGCACTAAGGCTGGTGTAGATGCTCTCGATGAAAAATGTGCTAACTGTTGTACCGGTCGTAGAACCAGAAGATGGCCTATGGCAATTTTCTTAAGAATTCTGGACATAATTACAATTGAAATGAAAGGTAAGTTTTACGATGATGATTGTTTATTTTATTTGTTTCGGTGCGACAATTGTTTCGACCAATAAGGTCTTCTTCTTAGGCACGACGTCAAAAGAGAGATTAGATGTTGAGACGGAGAATTAATGTTGAATCAGTAATTGTTTTACAAAAACAGTCGCAAAGGGGTTGTGTACATTTTAAGTGATACATTTTCTCGAATCGGAACAGAAACGTTGTTACATTAAAGTTTGTAAAATGAACATTTGAAAACACGTTGAAAAGTGAGGTTATGAGTTTTAAACAAGGATCATCGTAAAAAGAAACAAACAAATTAATAAAACAAAAAGAAGAACTGAATGAAAAAATAACAAAAATTATGAAGAAACTATGAAAAAAATAATTAAAAAAGTGAAACGGTACTTTTCCGTGTCCGAGTCCACAGTCGGACTTTTGCGCTTCACGGAAAAGCTAAATAATTACAATTGGATCTCTCGTGACGACGATGTATGTGTGCGCATAGGCATGATTAAGCCGAGTTCGCATTGGCATTTGGCAGCGTAGTTTCAACAAGACTGTGTTATTTTCATTTCGTTCCTGTTTGTTGGTAGATAGGATTAGTGTTGATAGTTTATTGAAGTGACAGTGTGTATGCATTCTAATCATCTAACAATAAATAAAAATTTTTAACCTTACTATTTTTGTATTTACAATGTCGTTGTAGGTCCAGTGTCGGTCGCGTAGGTATTTAAAATGAATAATCTACAAAATTGGCTTAAAAAGAGGCCACACAAGCCTAACGAGACTAGTCCGATCAGCAATAAGAAAACAGTACTGGAAAAAGATTATCAAAATCTTCCCAGCACAAGTGGCCCGAGTAAGGTTGTTGGAATGTAAGCCAGTACCAAGCATTCAAAGAAAACAATGACTGGCTCATCGTCGAAAATAAGGCTTTGGGCTGTTTAGTTTGTGGCAAAGTGGATTCTTTCGCCATTCACAGTGACAAAAATAAAAGAGTTTCAAAACCGTGGCAAGAATGTTCAGTGACAGAAAATGGAAAGACTCGGGAGTCACAGCAATCAAGCCTACGTAAAAAAATATTTGAACACAAACATTCGGAAACTCATAAAAAGGCCATAGAAATTCTATAGCATGAAAAAAAAAAAGACCATTGAAGGAGTCATTGGAGACACAAAATGAATGAAACATTATTTACTACCACTGAACGAGTTTTCAGAACTGGGTAAGATTTTACATTCTGACAAAACGCATTTGAAATGAAAAACGCCATATGCAAAAATATTATTGACAATAAAAGGAAAATCTCAGTTTTGATAGACGAGTCAACAACCCTAAGCAAAAAAAACGACTTTGGTTGTAGTAATAAGGTCAAATTTCGAAGATTCCTCGTCAAATCTAGAAGGTACCTATGTCTTTAATCTTGACTTAATTGAGCTGACTGATTCAACTGCTGAAAATATCACAAAGGATCTTTTGATATGCCTAAATAAATATGGCTTTGATCAAACTTTTCTGGAAGAGCACCTCATAGCCTTTGCCTGTGATGGAGCCTCGGTTATGATTGGAAAGAAGTCCGGAGTAGCAACGCGGTTGCAAACAATATTTCCAAATTTATTAGTGTGGCACTGCTCTAATCACAGATTAGAGCTTGCTGTCAATGACTGCGTTAATGAAGTCAGTGGTATCAACCATTTTAAAATCTTTATAGATAAATTATATAGCTTATACCACCTATCGCCCAAAAACCAAAATGAACTCAAAAAGGCAACAGCTTCGCTTGAGGCGCAAATTTTAAGAATCGGAAGAATTTTATCTGTTCGATGGGTTGCATCAAGCAAACGTACAATCAATGCTGTATTACATAACAACCAAGCACTTTGTGAACATTTTGAGACAGCCTCTAAGGATTGGACTAGAGATACAAAAGAAAGAGCCAAATACAATGGTTTACTGAATATTATGACTGATGTACAATTTTTAAAAAATCTACATGCTATGTCTGACGCTCTTGATGAAATGGGAGATTTGTCAGAAGTATTGCAGCGTCAAAACATTACTCTTGTTGAAGCTGATAAAGCTATAAGAACTACAATTCGAATTTTCGACTCCATGACTACTCAACCAGGACCCAAACTTGATAAACTTTTGTGCTCTATCTCAGAAAATACATACAAAGGTATACAACTTCATGAGGGTAGAGTTGTACCCATAAATACTGCACAGCTGTATACCAGTTTAGCAAATAACATGAGGAATCGTATGATAACAACTTCGTCTTCTCATGGTTCTCGTTATGATGCCAAACGTCAGACAAGTCAGATTGAAAATGAAAACACATACACTAATTTACTAGCGAGTATTAGTGTTCTTGAGCCGAAGAATTGGCCAAAATCAAATGATGGTGAAGTAGAAATACAATATGGTGATAAAGAAATTAGACATCTGTGTACTCAGTTCTATTTAAATGATGTACAAATAATTCGTGGCTTTAGGTTCTACAAAATGAGCGGAGGAAAAGAAGAAATTCCTGATGATTTGAAACCACTTTTAAACGTTATTGCATCAATTCCAATATCCACCAGCGAATGTGAGAGGAATTTCAGTTCAATGAATGAAATAGTAACACCATTACGATCATCGTTGTCGGTGGAAACAACTGCTGCACTGTTATTCATAAACTGCGTTGGACCACCACTAACGCAATTTAACCCTGAAAAATATGTGCGATCGTGGTTAGCAAAAGGTAATTAAAATCTATTTAATACTACCTAATAAAATTTTTAAATTGTTGTATC